TCAGTATCTTGTTCTGTTATCTTCTTGAAACTTCCAATATAATTTGCTGATGATTCCCATTTGTACTAAAGACACAGTGAGGCCCATTGTAGATTCTCCCATGAGCTATGAACAGACAATCTTCCAGTTTCTGTTCCTCACAAGATTTCTATTGAGATTTCGCCTCATCTGACTTCCATGCAATAATGATGAAGATCGGGTTTTATACAGCTCAAGACACAGTTCTGTTTGTCATTTATCTTTGTTAATTTCTCGCAATGGGCACCAAACCACTCTGGATTGAAACTAAAAATAATTTTCTCAGCAAACTTCCAGGTAAATTGAAACCAGAAGACTTTCTTAAGCTCTATCTTTCATTCACGGCATGTGGGCATCTCTGTCAGGCCAGCAATTATTATACATCCCCCGAGGGCAGTTAAGTGTCAACCATATTGCTGTGGGTCTGGAGTCATGTGTCGACCAAACCAGGTAAGGATGGCAGCTTCCTTCCCTAAAGGTCATTAGTGAACCAGAAGGATTTTCCTGACAATCAACAATGGATTCATGGTCATCATTAGACTCTTAATGCCAGATTTATTTATTGAATTCAGATTCTATCATCTGTTATGGCAGGGTTTGAACCTAGGACCCCAGAACATTACTGGGATCTCTGGATTAATAGTCTAGCAATAATACCACTAGGGCCTTCACCATCTATCTCTATGACAATGTAGCCTGCCTTTAAAGTGATCTTGAGTTTAATTAACCGCTATTTAAAATATCCTCTTTGACCTGATGTAGTAAATGAATTTACAACCTTTCAAGAATCACTGAATGCTTCTTGATTAATTTAGTTCAAACTACCAAAACAAAAACATCTCTCTAGACCGCAATTTCTGCAAGGATTGTGGATATCATGTCTCTAGTTCTTTAGCTCAGTAGGCCCACCTGATATTTTATAATCTTGTCTTTCTAGCAGTTAACTTCTTAGATCTCGGTGGCCACAATCATTTGATGCGATGATATTTTTTGCATTTATTTTTACAGATCACTGTAAATAAATCACTGCTGCAATAATTTTTTTTCATTCATGGAATTTGGATGTTGCTGGCTGGTTCACTATTTATTGCCAATCCTTAGCTCCCCAAGGGATAGAGATAGAGTCTACGACACTGCTGTTGGTCTGGAGTCACATGTAGGTCATACTGGGTAAGGATGGCAGTTTTTTTCCCTGAAGCACATGAGTGAACCAGATGGGTTTCTCTCACAATCGACCCTAATTGCCATTAGGTCAGAATTTTAATTCCAGATTGTTCTCTGCATATAGGTGCAGAAAGCAAATAAATATGGGACATTTCATACATTGGTGCGATCCAGGAAATTTGGAGGTTTTCTCAAAGTCTAGCTGTGATGAGGAACAATGCAAGCATCTCAAAACCAGTGATTCTGATGGTCTAATGACAACTTTTGATCCCAGTTCATAATATATTCAATCATAATGTTAAGAGACTTCTAATATGAGGCTTAAAAATCGATGTAAGAGACAGAGATGTGCTTTATTAACTTATTTGTGCAATTCTCATAGATGAATATATGTTGCTGTTATTTGCAACAGCTGACAAGGACGCAGTCTGGTAAATGTTATTAAAATCCCAGAATTAATTTCTTGCATTTTTTATTGACTAGGATCTCATTAATAATTTTAACTGCGCATTTTGTTTGTCAAATAGCCTAAGCTTTGTGCATTCAATTAAAATTTAGCTGCATAGACCATATTTTTTCTTGTGATGTATGAAGTCAGCTTCATGGTGTTCTAAGGTTTTATTTAAAGTTATCACCAAACTGAGTTCATAGCTCAAGCTACTTGTTGTTTTCCATGTCCATTTTGGCAAAGCTGCTCTCCAGAAACTAGCAGTGATTGGCAGTGTGTGATATGGAAATTTCTGAAAATTATCAATGTCTCTAGTTAAACTAACTTGAAATCTAAGACCCTGAGCTTGGGAAATGGGTGGCAATAATCTGGCCTACATGGAGAAGGGGGAAGTATTGCAGGTTGCACTGGAGAAGTCGGTGAACCAATAATTGAAGAGATATGGGTCCTACTCTTCGTGGGGGGTCTAAAGGACTCCGGATTTGGACAGTGCCGAAATGAGGTCTCACATGGCAGCTGCTAGACCCTCAACATTAAGTTCTAAGACTCAGACTTCCTGTCCTCTTACTATGAAGCTAAAGGCTTGCTCAATGTCTAGATGAGAGGTTCTGGACAGACTGGGATTCCTCTTTTGGCTGCTGGTAGGATAACCTGCTTCCACAGGGAGATCCTGAGGTTTGGGAGATTCGGAGAGTGAGAACGCAGACCCATTGCCCATGCTGAGCAAAATCTCCCAGTGCATCTCCTTTGAATGAAGCACTGGAAAATGGGAAGTTGCTAAGACGTTCCTTGTGATAAATCCCATCTGTAGAGTGAGAGACTTTGAATTCCCACTGTGAGAGTGGTTCTATCTAAACAGCTTCAAGACGAACCAAGGCTCCTGTACAGCAACCTCCACCTCTGGGATCTCATTACAAACCCTGTGTACACTTGTGGAGGGACACAGACACTGCTACATATTACCAAGGAAGGTCCCCTCTACAAATCAGACAAATCACCTTCAATTCAACATTTGGCCTCAGGGATTTGCATTCATTGAATAAAATAATAAAATAAAAGAAATTTGGTTGTCACTTTACTACTGTCTGAAATAGCTGAGGGAGCTGATCAATTTCAAGAGCAATTAGGGGATAGACAACAAATGCCGGCCTTGTCAGTGACTCCAATGTCCCACACACTAACAAATCCTTACCTCTGTGTCAGGATACTGGGTTTCAAGTCCTACCTGGTTGACAGGTATGCAATAACATCTCTGAACAGATTGATTGAGGGATAAAAGAAACATGCAAGAACACAAAAAAAAACATATGAGCCATATACAGGCCGCAGTGATAGTAACTATTGTACTCGATGGAGTTTAGAAGGATGTGGGGAGATCTAATTGAAATGTACAGAATACTGAGAGAAAGGGATAGAGTGCACATTGAGAAGATGTCTCCAATAGTAAGACAGACTAGGACCCAGGGGCACAGCCTCAGAGTGAAGGAATGACCTGTTAGAACTGAGATGAGGAGAAATTTCTTCAGCCAGAGGGTTATTAACCTGTGCAACTCATTGACATAGAGAGCTGTGGAGGCCAAGTCATTGAATGTATTGAAGATAGAGATAGACACGTTCTTGATTAGTAAGGGGATCAAGGATTATCAGGACAAAGGAGGAGAATGCAATTAAGAAGCATATCACCCATAATTAAATGGTGGAGCAGACTCAATGGGCTGAATGCCCTACATCTGCTCCGACATCTGATGGTCTTACCCAGCAATGAATGGAGCACTTACCTTGCAGGAAGCCCAAAGAGTAAACTCTGCTGGGGATGTTTGCAGTCTCCAGGGTATGAAGTGGATTTTTCCTTATTCTAAAGCAATGAGTGCCTGATGGATGGTCCGACACTGGGACATGGTGCAGGCGAGGGATTGATAAAAGGGAGGAACAACAGTTAACACTGATTTTGACTTTTACTATTTTTACAACATGACAATTACACACCACAAGAACCAATTAGAGTCATAGAGATGTACAACATGGAAACAGATCCTTCGGTCCAACTAGTCCATGCCGACCAGATATCCTAAATTAATCTAGTCCCATTTGCCAGCATTTGGCCCATATCCCTCTAAACCCTTCCTATTCATATACCCATCCAGATGCCTTTTAAATGTTGTAATTTTACCAACCTCCATCATTTCTTCTGGCAGCTCATTCCAAACATGCACCACCCTCTGTGTGATAAGGTCCCTTTCATTTCTTTCCCCTCTCACCTTAAATCTGTGCCCTCTAGCTTTGGACTCCCCTATCCTGGGGAAAAGACCTTACCTCTTCACTCTATCCATGCCCTCATGATTTTATAAATCTCTCTAAGGTCACCCCTCAGCCTCCGTTGTTCCAAGGAAAATAGCCCAGTCTATTCAGCCTCTCCCCATAGCTCAAACACTCCAACCCTGGCAACATCTTTGTAAATCTTTTCTGAACCCTTTCAAATTTCACAACATTCTTCCTGTAGCAGGGCAATCACAATTGCACGCAGTATTCCAATAGTGGCCTAACCAATGTCCTGCAACATGACCTCCCAACTCCTATACTCAATGCACTGTCCAATAAAGGCAAACATACCAAACACCTTCTTCACTATCCTATCTACCTGCAACACCATTTTCAAGGAAATATGAAACTGCACTCCAAGGTCTCTTTGTTCAGCAGCACTCCCCAGAACTTTACCATTAAGTGTATAAGTCCTGCCCTGATTTGCCTTTCCAAAATGCAGCACCTCACATTTATCTAAATTAAAATCCATCTGCTACACCTCGGCTCATTGGACCATCTGATCAAGATCCCATTTAACTCTGAGGTAACCTTCTTTGCTGTCCACTACACCTCCAATTTTAGTGTCATCTGCAAATTTACTAACCGTACCTCCTATGTTCACATCAAAATCATTTGTCGAAATGACAAAAAGTAGTGGATCCATTGTTTTAAAACACAAGGATTTATGCTAAAACACTAAATTGTTAACTCATACATTGTTCCAACAGAACATGAAGATTTGAAAATGCATCTGTCATCTCATATTCATGGTCTAATTCTGCGAATCTCTTCACTTCAGGAATATTTGCGCTAATTTTGTTTTTTAATTGTTCTTACAGATTGTGAGAACTGGTCAATCATATAAATTTGATTTAGAACTTATTAATCTCAGATAGAACATACAGAGATATCTGTCATTTTCCACAAATTTATAGTCTTCAGGCAAAAAAATAACATCTGAACTTAAGAAAGTTTAAACTTTTCTTTGAACAGTTGCATTTCTTGCAGTTTAAGTTTGATTTTTAACCGGTTCCCTTTGGTAACCTGTGATTTCTATCTATTGGTCTAGCTACATTCTGACCTGGACAATGGTGATGGTTCTGTGACCTATACTCTGTTAGGCCAAGGAGCTGGCTCGATCTTCACCATTGATGAGATTACAGGGGATATTCATGCAATAAAGAGCCTGGATCGTGAAGAAAAATCTTATTATGTTCTGCGTGCACAGGCTGTGGATACAGAAACCGGAAGACCTGTGGAACCTGAATCGGAGTTTATCATTAAGGTTCAGGATATCAATGACAATGAGCCGAAGTTTCTGGATGGACCTTATGTTGCTGATGTCCCAGAAATGTCTCCTGCTGGTAAGTAGAACGTAATTGGGGTCATGAGATTTCGCTGCTGATGTTGCTTAATGTTGCTTTCTGTCCCCAACTTCATATCATTGCTTTCAATTATCCAAAACTTAGCTATGGAGAAAACTGAAAAATTAAAAATTACTATCTCCAAATTAAAAATGAATACTTTTTGTTGGTTAACAACAGTGCTGGGCTTTCAAGTTGGAGCCAGTGCAATCTAGGTATTCACCTGCTTAGTTGTTTTTCTCGTTAAGATGTCCAAAGCACAGGAGATGCTCAAAATTCCAAGACTAAACATTGCCCAAGTACTCCCCTGTGCTAGATGGTCATACTGGGAGTGACTGCAGCCATAAAGGCAGTGGTGGCACAGTTTGTCCTGTGTTCTCGTATCAAGGAGTTCAAAGTGTGGGCAGATTTAGAAAGTACCCACCAGGAGATACATATGGAACATGCCTTTGTCGTTTTCTTATGTAGCTCACCTTTTCCAGTGACGAGCTGTGTTGGGTTGTCTGAGCAATATGGGTTGCCGTTTGAGAAGGCACCACCCCATCCTACTATCCATCCTTTCAGATTCCCCACTTTAGTAACAAGATCGTAAGTCAGCCACGGATTCCCAAAATGACTCCTTGATTGTTCTAATCTGAATTTTTAATTTTACTCTAATTGGGAAAAGTTGGTGAAATTACAATGGTGGGGTGATTTGGTCTTTGTTACGGGTATGGAATGGGCACAATGGAGAATGGGCAGCATCTTCTAAACTGCATTCTGTTTCTTTTTCTACCAATACACTGCGGTGAGCACATATTGAGTATTATTGGCAAGTCCAATTTCACCTTCAATCATCATAGCCAAGCTTTTTCTTTCATTGAGGTGGAAGGTGAAACAATTTGTCGAAGCTGGATGTTCTTGTCAAGTCAGAGAGAGGATCAGTTTGTACTTTTTCTATCATCGCTCCTGTTTTATTGCTTGTGGATAATTTTCTACCAATTACAGTGCTTTCACAGCCAGGAAAACCAGCTGCTAATAACTAGATTGAACAACAGTTCATCAGATGTCTTGTGACTGTCAATTGATAGCAGCATTACTAATACTTAACAAAGTACAATATCATGCAGTGAATGGATTTCAGAGCAATTGAGAGACACCAGGATCTGCAAGCACGCAATGACTGGGTGGTCTAAAGTATTAATAATATCCTTTGATCTCTGATACTCAGATTGAAACTTATTCTGTATTGATAAAGATCTCCTTATTTTCTGCTGGCTGGACTTGGCCTCAGCAAGATTAGATTTTGGCAATCTCAATCCAATTCTAGTTATTGTAAATGCATAGCATAAAAACTATTTCAGCTGTGAATTGGAGCCAGAGAACAGGATGTGCTTTTCAGTTACCCAGTAAATATTGCACAGCAGGAGCGCAGCCCTCGTGTTAAATTTAAAGCACATTCTTCAACGAGAGATAGTTTCTCTTTCGATCTAATTTATGTCAAAGGTTACCTGGGCCTGAAAAGCAAAAACATTCTTTATTTCAGAATCCAGTGACCCTTAAATTCCAAGTTACAACAGTCAACCCGATAAACTAACCTGCACATCTTGTACAGAGTTTAACATTCTGTACTCTGAGACCATCTGATTGTTTCTTTTATCAGCTAATTATTGCACCTAATTGGCTTTTTCATCCCAAGAGTCTTAAGGGTCAAGTTATCACTCAGGCACATCCATTGCACATTCAGTGGGATTCATCATCACACCTCATGAAGGGTGGTACTGCGCAATATTACACTCAATCAGAGAAAGCATTAAGGGGAATGAAGGTGGACCCCACTGGAAAAGGGCAGATGGGTCAAGAGGAGGATGGGCCAAGGCACCACCTCCCCCCAGGAGAAGGCAATGCTTGGGACCTGTGAAAATGTGCAGAAGGTGAGCACTCAAAAGGTGGCAGTACTAAACGGCCCAGTAAACCAAGCAGCCCACACCTGAGAGATTGAGTACTCACTCGTTGATCCTACAACAGCTGTTGGGGTCATTCTTGGAGAGTGTCAGTGTAACTGCTCAGAATATAGCCCACACATTGCTAAGAGGGCTATTGTGGCGCAATTGGAATATCCCTACCTCATAACTAGAGGGTACAGGTTCATGTCCAACCTGGTAGAGATTTATGTTGTAACATATTCAAACAGGTTGAGTTAAAAATATCTTTCTGGGACTCTTGTAGTGCAGTGATACTGTCCCTACGTCTGAGCTGGGAGGTCAGATTCAAGTCCCGCCTGTTCCAGAAATGCGGCATAACATCTCTGAACAGGTTGATTAGAAATATCTGAAACATCTCTCATGGTGTAGTACAAATGCCCCTATCTTTGAGCCTGAAGGCCTGAGTTCAAATCCCTCTTCCCTCTCTTTCTCTCTCCCTCTATCTTGAAATGTCAAATAGCATTTTTGACAGGCTGATTGGAAATTATCTACACACTGCTGAACATTCACAAGGATAAAAGACTGAAGCATGTTTCAATGGTTCATTTACCATAGATCACAGCTTATTAGGCAATCCAATGTGTAAGTCAACCCCAGTTTTCTGCTTTTGAAAGTTTTACTTTTGCATATACTTGATGTTGAAGTGGATGAAATGCTCTTGAACTTCGATATGTCCAGAAACTAAATTATCAAGTTGAAATGTTTAGCCACAGGGCCTGAGACCACACGGTTCATGGTGGTACTAGACACCATAGCCAATGGAAGTTAATATTGAAGACTAATGGTTATTTTCACATGTAAGATCTGCTAAAACTCATGGTTGTTGTGCAAATACTTGATAATGGATGAATGTATAAGGAAAGAGTGAAGTTATGGATTAATATAGTGTTAAACAGGGATCCCAGTTGCCCACATGAAGAATGCAGCTGAGACTGGGATATATTCGGATCCCATATAATCAATGAGATCAAAAAGCTCATTCAAGGAAACAGCAACTGCATTGCAGTTGTAACCGATGTGGGGGTTGTGCTATCTAATATCCACGGGAAGCATGTATCAGCAACAAGCCATTTAAGGATCACATTCAAATTGGATGAAGTTGGCGAATGGTTTATGGAGAACCAATCTCTACAGTTGGGAAAACCACACACGCTACCATGCAATGTGACTGGGCGTTACAGTTCAGTTTTGGTGCATCTGATCTCTGCTCCTTGTGGTACACATACTATCTCAACAACACATACTGTCCATGACAGTATCGGTAAGAGTGACCATCGCACAATCCTCCTGGAGATGAAGTCCCGCCTTCACATTGAGAATAACTTCCATCATGTTGCGTGGCACTATCACTGTGCTAAACGGGACAGATTTCGCACAGATCTAGCAACTCAAGACTGGGCATCCATGAGGCGCTGTGGGCCATCAACAGCAGCAGAATTGAACTCCAGCACAATCTGTAACCTCATGGCCCGACATATCCCCCACACAGCCATTACCATCAAGCCAGGGGATCAACCCTGGTTCGATGGAGTGTGCAAGAGGGTATGCCAGGAGCAGCACCAAGCATACCTGAAGATGAGGTGTCAATGTGGTGAAGCCACCAAACCGGACTACTTGCACGCCAAACAGCGAAAGCAGCAAGTGATAGACAGAGCTAAGCAATCCCAAAACTATCGGATCAGATCTAAGCTCTGCAGTCCTGCCACATCCAGTTGTGAATGGTGGTGGGCAATTAAGCAACTCACTGGAGGAGGAGGCTCCACAAATATCCCCATCCTCAATGATGGAAGAGCCCAGCACATCCGTGCAAAAGATAAGGCTGAAGCATTCGCAGCAATCTTCAGCCAGAAGTGCCGAGTCGATGATCCATCTCGGCCTCCTCCAGTGGTCCCCAGCATTACAGATACCAGTCTTCAGCCAATTCAATTCACTCCACGTGATATCAAGAAATAGTTGGAGACACTGGATACTGCAAAAGCTACCAGCCCTGACAACATTCCAGCAATAGTACGGAAGACTTGTGCTCCAGAACTGCCACTTCCCTAGCCGAGCTCTTCCAGTACAGTTACAACACTGGTATCTACACAACAATGTGGAAAATTGTCCAGATATGTCCTGTACATAAAAAGCAGGACAAATCCAACCCGGCCAATTACCGTCCCATCAGTCTCCTCTCGATCATCAGTAAAGTGATGGAAGGTGTCAGTAACAGCGCTATCAAGCAGCACCTGCTCAGCAATAACCTGCTCAGTGACGCCCAGTTTGGATTCTGCCAGGGCCACTCAGCTCCTGATGTCATTACAGCCTTGGTTCAAACACGGACAAAAGAGCTGAATTGTACAGGCGATGTGAGAGTAACAGCCCTTGACATCAAGGCTGTATTCAACAGAGTATGCCATTGAGGAGCCCGAACAAAACTGGAATCAATGGGTATCAGGGGGCAAACTCTCGGTGGTTAGAGTCATACCTGACACATAGGAAGATGGTTGTGGTCGTTGGAAGTCAATCATCTCAGCTCCAGGACATCTCTGCATGAATTCCTCAGGGTAGTGTCCTTGGTCCAACCACCTTCAGCTGCTTCATCAATGATCTTCCCTCCACCATAAGGTCAGCAGTGGGGATGTTCGCCGATGATTGCACGATGTTCAGCACCGTTTGCAACTCCTGAGATACTGAAACAGTCAGTGTTCAAATGTAACAAGATCTGGGCAATATCCAGGCTTGGGCTGACAAGTGGCAAGTGACATTCGCGCCACACAAATGCCAGGCTATGACCATCACCAATAAGAGACAATCTAGTCACCTCCCCATGACATTCAATGGTGTTACCATCACTGAATCCCCTAATATGAACATCCTGGGAGTTATCATTGACCAGAAACTCAACGGACTCACCACATAAATACAGTGGCTACAAGAGCAGGTCAGAAGGTAGGAATAAAAACAGAAGTTACTGGAAAAGCTCAGCAGGTCTGGCAGCACCTATGAAGAAAAAATTCAGAGATAACTTTTTGGGTCTGGTGACCCTTCCTCAGA